TTTTTGTGAATATTTTAGTCTCATGCATTCTGAATTCTAATTTAGTCTTTTAGCCATACAGTGAAGCTTGCAAGAAATCTCTTGTAGAGAGTAGATTTGGATTTCTTATGCATCACACTATAACACTTCCATTAAAAGTAGGGTAAGATCTGGATTTTGTGTTAAATCCTGGTGCCATAAAGGCAATCAGGCTATGTCTACCTTACAAGGTTTTTGCACAAAAATGGCTGTCTTTGTGCAAAAACCGGCAGAGCATACACATCTCAAGAGCATTTGTGTGCAAAAAAAATACAGTAAATTGACAGGACAGAGGGCTTTTGCTGGTAGAGTTACTTCTCCCACGAGGAATAAGTCCTTTTTGCACTACAGCTCTTGCACACAAAGGCATGTGTGGACGCTCCACATGGGATTTCTTGTGCAAAAAGAGCCTATCAGAAAAAGCACTGGTGCTCTGATAGTCATTCTGTTAATGGCAATCAGAGCTTTCTTGCGCAAGAGCATCCTTGCAGTGTGGAAGCTCTCTTGCACAAAAGCACATTGCTTTTGCGATGCACTTTTGAGGTGTGGACATGCTTTTGCGCAAGAAGTTTTTGTGGAAGATCTCTTCCACAAAAAGCTTCTTGTGCAAAAACCCTGCAGTGTAGACAAAGCCTCAGAGTTTTGCCATTGACTTCATTAGAGCCAGGATTTTGCGCATTCAACAAAGAAGAAAACCTCCCCAATCTTTTTTAATTTGAGGGTTAAAACTAGAGATGGGTCTAAATGTATACATATGCAGAACTGGCTTTCACCCCCAAATTTCATAGTAGTCAAGCTTTGAAGTTTTGGTTCAAGTTACTAAAGAGATAGGGAGAATTTAAGAATTGGAATTTGGATCAGATTTCAAGTGCCTCAAAAATTTGAGAATTCAGATCCAGGATTTTTTGCTTCTGGCCCATCGCGAGTTAAATCTAAACTGCTAGTTTGCTAAATTAAATAATTTCCTATTGCAGTTGTGGGTTCCTCAGCCACCTTCACCATACATTTTTCATCAGGAGATAGTGATTATGATTTAAGGTACTGAGGGTCAATGTTTTTGTGGACTAACCTTGACAAGTTTCCACTTTAAAGACTAAAATGGGGAGGGGGGACAAATTATCAGAAATACTTTTCACTGTACAGCATGGCTTATTTTTGCAGATATAGGAAAAGACATTAAACACCAATCCAAAATTCCCTCTGTGAAACCTATAGGCCAAATTCTTCTATGTGCTTATATAGCCTTTATCACCATTCTTGCAATTGTTAATGGATTTGTATCTCCCCAATAACCCTGTGAGTTACAGAAGTATTATTTCAGTTTTACAGATGGAACACTGAGGCACAGTATAAATTTAATCACTTCCCAAGTGGTATAACCCCTAAACCATCTTTCTTATCTTTTAAATTACACTGGAATAAATCTGGAATAATTATACTCACATCAAATGTGTTACTATGGATTTATATTGATATAATTAACAGTAGAGTTTGGCTCTGTGTGCACATCCAGGTAAATTGTTCCAGAGTTAGGTCGTCTTTGCTTTGGAGTTGATTTAATAATCATTCTTTTTTAAAAAAGATACTGTTTGAATTTTCAAATGTGCCCAATGTTGGCCTAACTTTACTCTCACTCTGAAGACGATGATAAAACTCCTGTTGACTCAAATCACAATTAGGCCCATACCGACCACTTTTGAAAATCTCATCCCAACGTTTATTTTGTGTCACCCACTTAGTGCAAGTGGCGGTGCAACAATCATTTCTTTTATTTTACGGACTGCGATATTGTAAGGCAAGTGAAGATTCTTCACTGTGCAGAGCTACAGGGAAATTGGCATTCAGTCCTGCAGAAATCCTACTTTAAACTGTGTCATTCTAGAGTAGCTTTTTGTAGAAACATGTAGAGATAAGAAGTCCCTTACGTTACAGTGATATGATCAACTGTGTTAAGATATGTTCACTCCTCTAGTGGGGGAGATTTTCCACAAGAACAAATAGTAATGTATGCTACACATAAGTATTCCAGTCAAGTTATTTTAAAAAGACCCAGTGAGGCTAAATGTACTTTAACGTGCTTAATTAAAAAATGGCCCAAATATTAGCAATGTATTAGAACATCTGGCCTAAACAGTAGTTTATAGTCTGATGTTATAAAATTAATTTCCTTCAGCATAGCTGTCCAACAAAGGCAGGCCCATTGGGAGAGACCCTAAGTAGCCCAAGAGGCAAGCAGGATGGAGAAGGAGAGCAATGTAAGATGGAGGAGTTCCAAGCAATGTATTCCTGTGGTTCTAGGTAAAAGCAGCTGGTGATTTCCCTATCCCATTATAGGCCCTAATACAACTGGCCATAGGAGCAGTTCATATTTACAAGGAGCTGGTTCAGACAGCAACCTTCTAGTCTAGGTGTATCTCTGCTTCTCCCATAGTTCTCAGCTAAATTGCAAGAGACTATGTGATCCGGCATATGAGATCCACCAAATAAGAATAATCAAGAGCAAAAAATGAGAAGGAAAAATTAATAAAAGAGAACAAGCAAATAAGGACAGAAGACAGATACTGCATAAAAAGGAAGTGGGTGAATGGGGCATAGAATGGGAGAGGCTTGGCAGGTACACATCCACCAATTCAACACATGGGAGGGAGTGGGGATCCACTACAGAAAATTTTTGCCCTCCAGGATAATGAACAGAACACCAGAATACTCTTGTCTACACGCACACATCCCCCATCATCTGAGATTCTTCCAAAAGAATATATAAAAAAGGCTTGTTTGCAAAATTCACTTCATAGATGGAAGAAAAAGGAACACGATAATGATCAGAAAATAAACTCTCTTCTCCTTACATCAATGTAGGATAGGAATAGCTCTGTTAAATGGAAGGGAGTGGCACTGGTGCAAAAGTGTATAAGTGAAAAAGAATCAAGTTCCACAATTATGTCATCTATTGTGCACATTGGAAGTCTCCTTTCCAGGTGTATCTGTCAGTGTGGATTTGATTCTCTTCTCTCTTACATCAGTGTGAATCAGGTGATGTCAATGAAGTATTTACTGGTATAAAGCTGGTGAAAGTGAAAAGAATCAGACCCTCTCTTTGCAAGTCTTTTTAGCAAGAAAATCTAGGTGAAGATTCCTGTCTAGGTCAAGACTTTGTGTATTGAGACCCTGCCTGATGTTCAAAAGTATTGAACTCTTCTATTGAACTTACATGTCTGAAATCTGGGTTTAAAACATCCATCTTTCATTTTAGCCCTCTAATAATTAGACACACTAATGGTTTTTTTCATGCTTATAGGTGATTAAACATCAGAAAATTCAGATATATTCCATTTTTTAGGAGCTAGTAAAGTGAGATCATTGAGATGAATGGGATCTATAGGATATTACTCTCTTTTGAAAATGAGTGGTATTTTAGGGCAGGTTTTCACTATGGGGCAATGTTGAACGAAGATACACAACTCCAGCTATGTAAATACCATAACTGGAATTGACATCCTTCAGGTTGAGTTGCCACAAAATCTCCACTGCTGAGGGAGAGAAAGGGTCGATGGAAGAAAAACTGGGTGATCAGCGGTCGATTTAGCAGGTCTTTACTAGACCCTCTAAATCGACCCTCGGGGATCAATCGCCACAGTGCAATATCCTAGTAAGTATAGACATGCCATTAGTTTGGATTTGAGAGCCTCACTTTAAGTTCCTTTAAAAAGAAACTTGCCTTTACCTATTCATGGAACTTATCGATTTGGATACTTCATAAATTCTCTGTTTAGCAAGGGAAATCCTGGTAATATTTAAATGTAATATGTCAGATAATACCATGATTCTAAAGTCAGTCTAGAATGGTTTAGAAATAAATATCTGTGCGAAGAGCTCCTTTTGTTTAAAAAGGTTCAGTATTTAAACTGTCATAATAGTCACATATCCCCAACCCCTTTGAAATAATTCATATGATATAAGTTAATAATTAGACATTTGATTTCCTAATCCTTTTTTTAAAATAAATATGTTCCAGTATATGCATGCAGAAAAGCCTGATCCTTCTCCATCTTGACCCCGGTTTGGACATTTGGACATGTGTATAATGACAGGAAAGTGTGTTCAAAACTCAGTCAGATCACAGCTGTTTCATTTTGTTTGCACTTTGCACATATGTGTGACTAAACATGGTGTAAAAACAGGAAGAAAATAAGGCCCATTGTAAGTCTGATTAGTATTTGGGAAATGCCAGCATCCTATGAGTTAAAAATAGAATTATCTCCTTTAAAATTGCTAAATTCTGCCCATCTTGAGAATTTTGTCGCAGAAAATTTGTTACAAGTAATTTTGGTAAATATAGACCTAAATATAGACAGTGAAATCCCCAGCGGTTTCTTTCTAGTTGAAGCTAATATACTTTAGTCCCAAAAAAAGGCTTTTAAAAAAAGAAAAGGGGGTGTCCTGTCTTATTTTTAAACATTCTTCAATTCTGGGAGGATTAGCATTTTTTAAATAATAGATTACAAGACTGATGTATTTTTGCTCTTGCGGTCTGGATCACTGCTTCCTCCAATTATGGAGTGAAGCCCAGCAGGAGAAGAAAAATGCCATCTATAGACTGGAAAATATATCTGTATTAGTTGACTGCTCATTTCTTCATGCCATATTCATCATGGCTATGAACCATATAGCTTTAGGAAGAGATGAAATTGGCTGGTCATTCATGCTAAAACAACTAATCCAAACAGAATAAATTTAAAGAGTGAAACATTTTTTTTGGGGGGGGGGAAGGTTATTACATGGAAGAGAGAGAAGTGAGTTAGAGAAAGAAAAGGGGATCAGGCAAAGATCGGAGAGTTGAAAAACCCATAAATAAAAATGTTATCTAATGTCTTGCTTATAACTGATCTTCTGTATTCTGAAAAGCCCCTCAAAAACTAATTGGTTTCATTGTCATTTTATTTATGTATTCATATATACACACACTTTTTGGGCATAACTAGTAACCTGTAACTATGGAAATGGAGGCTGCCAACACACCTGTGATGACACAGATACTGGTCCTGTGTGTGGTTGTCATCAGAAGTATGCCCTACATTCAGATGGCCGAACATGTATTGGTAAGTACCTCTCTAACACATATTTTTTACTGGTCACATGGCAGAATGAGTTGGTGTGTGTGTGTGTATATGTGTGCAAAGATTTTGATCATAGCAGTTAGGGTCCAATTTTGCAAAAGAGATTAGTAGGATGCAGTTGCGATTGTTTTATGTAAATGTCACTGAAAAATCCCGTTGTCATTGTTTTGTCATTATAATTCCGTTTGTATAAATCTAAGCACTTTTAAAATTGAAAAACTCAAAAGGTAATCACAGATGAAGGGTCAAGTCTACCCCTTTCTACTGGTATGAGCAGTCCAGTGATTTCAGTGGGACTACTCACATCAATAAGCATTTGGTCCTAATATTTTTAAAATTCTATTTGGGGATCATTTAATATCCAAGATACACTTTCTTTCCTGGTTTTTGGTTTGGGGGTTTTTGATAGCAAAATAATAGCACTCATCATAAGTAACCTTCCACGGTGACTGTGAATGGGAAAATGACCTAGCAGGAAGTGAAACATCCTGGGTGTTGGCATGCAAATATTCATTAGTACAAAGTACATTGTTTGCATAATATTATCTGGTTTTGTACAAAAAGGGAATTTTGTGCTATAACTTAATCAGGGGGTTATGTTCCTTTCTTACATTCTTACTCTCCAAATCAGAACCTAAAAATCCTTAATGGTTTTCATCATCTTCACATTGTTATTTATTCGTTTATTTCAGAAATGTGTAAAGTAATACAAAAGTAGGAAATAAGTTTCAATACTTTCAGAATTAGATGGAAGTTACTAATCTGCTCTCTCCTTTTTCCATATTTGAAAACATGCAAGTCCTTATCTCCAACCCATTGAAGTCAATGGAAATCCTTCAGATTACTTCAGTGGGCTTGAGACCAGGCCCATAGGCAGTGAGATCTGTATAGACAAACCCTCTATGTCAGCCCATGGAATTGACTACGGATGGGGCTCAGCAGAGGGAAATGGATCCAATTGCACAGATTTCATGGCAGGATCAGGGCTGTAGCATTCACAACAGCAAAAGTAATCAGGGTAAAACAGTTACCAGGTCTTGTCTACACTTCCTATTCCTGGACTGTTAAGATCTGTCTTTCAATACTTTCTGTGACTTTCTTGTTCTGAGTCCTGCAGCCCCTCTGCATAAGGAACCCCTGCTGAAGTCTATGGGAGTTCTGGATGGGGAGGGTTTGCAGGATGGAGGACCCTAATAATACCAGGTTTTATTGAGGAACATATAATATATTTTTGACGCTCCCATTTGCCAAGAGTTCACTGTTTGTTAATATCCTCAAGTTGATGTTTAATTTTGTCCATCGTGTTCAAAGAATGCGTACACTTCACTCATGGCTTTTTTCTATTACTATGATTTTTCATTTTTGTAATGTAACAAACACAACCCCATGTTACATTCTTTGATCCTGTGATGTAAGTCACATACAACTGCTTGTGTTGATTTTCCTCCCTCTGAGTAGTTCTTTCTTTTAGAACACGTTTTTATTTTTATTTTTATTTATTTTTTTACATTTTTATTCCTGCTTTCTGGTGATGGTTCCTGATTGCCTGTCTTGTCTGATAACTGACGTTCATTAATTATTTACAGAACAATAAAAACACCCACAATATCTCAAACAAAAGCCTCTATTGCAGCCTGATCCCATCTAGAACTTGTTTAAAAACTTCTCGTTACAACTCAACCATGTAGCGTTGCCACAGATAAAACCTGCCAGCCACCGCCTTCTCCTCCTCTTCCTCATTTCCATTATTTCACTGTTTGCTGTCTTCAGTGGTGTAATATAGTCTGGGCATCACTGCAAGAATGCAAACTTCTGCAATACCAGATAAATACTTTTTTACCCTTTGTCTAACATATTTTGTCTTTGTTTGCCTGACATTTTTAATGTTTGCTGCATGTGAAAGTCCCCACTTGCATTCTGTTTTGGCTTTTTTAATAAAGCAACTCCCCTACCCTGCATAAATCATTTTATTTACCCAGCTGCTGCTTTCTCCATTGCTTTCCTGTATGAGAAACCTTTATTTTTATTTCACTTACTGCTCATCTCTTCCCTCCCTTGTGAATGATTGTTTCTGTGTATTTCTAATCAAGCATAACTCAACTAAAGTCCTTGTTATGCTGAATTGAAACTCTTACAAGTAGGATATCAGAAACTATCTGCAAAATGACCTTTGCTGACATCTTGCTTACTGCATGCTTATAAAATTACTAAACACTGTTTTTGCAACATCTTTTCTAGCATTGAATGTTTAGCTAGTAGTGTTTCATAGACAAGCAGGCAACCAGCACTGCCCAAATTGATCTTTTTGTGTTTGTTTGGTTTGTTGTTCGTTTTTTGGTTTTGGGTTTTTCCTTTTTTTTTTTTTTAAGAAATTTGCATGCATTGTGTTTGGTTTTTAAACACTCTATCAATGTGTACATGACTATGGTGCACTTGTGTCCTTCCATCACCGGATTCTTTTAGCTCTGTCTGTCTGTCTCAACTTGGTCCTCGGCCTGCCATTTTCAGATCCTGATCCCACCATCAGCCTGAATCACTTTACAGTTTGTCTTTAATAGTTTGTTTAACTAGAATCGTTGGATTTAAATTTCCATTACTAACATCTGTCTGGGGCACGCCTGTTTGCTGTCTCATTCTCTAGGAAACAAGCTTTGTGTGTGTTTTCTGGTTAATTACTTTGTCATTTATCATTCCTCCTCCTCTTCCTCCTTTCTCCCCTTCTGCCCCAAGCAGCCTTTAATTTTTTTCTGGGGTTTCAAGTGGAATTAACTCTCTAACAGGGATTTAGTGCTTTCATGGCTTGCTTCTTGGCTTTGGTTGTGCCATACCAAGAAACTGTCTTAGGCAGCGGAAAATTGGGCTTTTGATTAACCAACTGCTCCATGTTTGTCCCTTACTTGTGTTTTAGAGAAGGATGAGGCTGCAATTGAGAGTTCTGAGTACAATGCCACGTCAGTAGCTGATGTGGACAAGCGGGTGAAACGGCGGCTACTTATGGGTAACACTTTTCTTCCACTTCCTTTGTTGTGCTCTCACTTTTGTCTGTATGTGTGTGTATGGATTTTTTTTTTATTTTTGGTTTTGTTTTTTTCATTTATTTCATCTGTGTTTATAAGATCAACTTTTTTAAATTCTTACCTTGTATAATACAATTTCATTTCTTATTTGTAAACTTTTTTCCCTAACCCTGCTGATTTCATGTTCAATTTCTTCTGCATAGAAAGAAACTTTTGCCATTAACTTGTCTTACCTTTTGCAAACTACTTCTTATGTGTGATTTGTGTGTGTATGTGTGGATCTAGGGTTCACATAAAATCTCATGTCAGACCTGCCTTTAGTTTATAAATGGATGATGATGTTATAAAATGATGCCCTTTTTCATATGTGGTGTTAAATGAATGATTATATTCACTTAGTTAAGTTTTTGCATACTTTTGGGTGAAATGTATATATTATTGCTAGAAATTGATTTATTTCCTTAACATTGATACGTTGTGAACTATTGTGATTGGTGAGTTTTAATATCATTATCTCTTAAGACTAGCATGTAGTTTGCTTCTGTAGATAGTTATAAGCTAAAGAGTGGAAGAAGAATTAATAGGCAACATGAGAATGATGAAATACATTGAACAATAAAGATAATTCTTATGTTTCTGATAATAATCAATTGTTCAGGCAACTAATAAACTGCCTTGTTCATATGTCCATTGATGATGGTGTTCTTTTTGCAAATAAAAAGGAGAGTGCATTTTTGGTTTTCATAAGCGAATATTATATGGGAACAGATTCAACACTCTGGTTGCTTTTCATGCTGAGTTACTATTTAAGGTCGTGGTGGCTGGATCTTCGCCAGATTCCTTTTCATGTAACAAATGCCATTGAAGAGTATGGATTGCTAACCTGTACTGCTATTTGGATATGAATTTGGATATGAATTTGATAATCCAGTCAGTTTATCAGACTGCAATTTGGGTTTTGATCAATCTCACATGATGCATAATGGCCCCCCTAGGTTTTAAGAGTATTTAGTATCTGTGAAAAGGGCCAGATTTCCAGTCTGTGGACCGGGAGCTCTTTATTTATCCATAGAAGAGGTATAGCATATGAACTGCCAATTCCCTGGCAATTATGAGCCCAGTCTGAAAAAGTGCTGAGCACTTCATAGGTTCCACTCTGTCTGTCCTGATCTGAAAGGACTATTGCTAGAGGACAAGAAAACTATTCTGTTTCTATGATAATTGAATCCTTGCTCACTAAGATAAAAGTTCAATTGTTGATAGTGGTTTTGATGCTATCTTGTCCACGTTGAACAGGTTTGAGGCCATCAACTCATTTCACATAAAGCAACAAATAGCCATCAGATGGTAATGGCTTATATGTAGGTAGAATGCCTTGTATCCTATTACTGAATTCCTTAGCTATCTGCCTCCCTATTGCCACTAGAGAGTCTACAGGTTTGCAGTGTAGTAAATGTTTGAAATGCAGTTATCTAGCAGGCAGGCCATAGGTATGATTGTATAGTAATAAATTGAATATCCACAAACCAGTTTAGATTTGCATAAGTGATTGTATAGATCAGTGGTTTTCAACCTTTTTTCATTTGAGGACCCCTAAAATCTTAGACACAGACTGCAGACCCTCAGAGGTCCATGGATCATTGGTTGAAAATCATTGGTATAGATCATCCAGCATCCAAAGGGCACAGATTTCAAAGAGGGACTTAAGCACCCATGCCCATTGAAAGTCAGCAAGAATTGTGTGCATAGCTTCCTTAGGCCCTTCCTTACGTCTAAATCCTAAACAGCGAGCTTGTCGCTGACAATGCAAGTATGGTGTGCTAGTAGAAGCACTCTTACTCTCATTGCTATTGGACCTTGTGATGTCCAGAAGCAACCACCATGATCATCTAAGAAGAAAAATAAACCGTACTATTGACTGTTGAACAGAGGCAAGGGCTTAATAATCCAACTAGTCATATAAGTGGTCAGAAACATTCAGTAACTCCTATGTTAACCTATAGGGTATGTCTAAACTACACCCCTCTTTCAAAAGAGGGATGTAAATTAGACAGATTGAAATCGCAAATTAAGCCGGGATTTGAATTTCCTGTGCTTCATTTGCATAATGGCGGCCGCGCATTCTTTCAAAAAAGGGCTTTTCAAAAGTAAAACCACCGTCTAGACGGGGTTCTTTTTTGAAAGATCCTGTACTCCTCATTTTTTGGCCAACGTGTGAAATACATGCAGTAGCTGGACTATGGAGTCCTTCAAAAACTTGATCATTAGAACTGAATAGCTCCTGAAATCAAATCTGAAAGGGCAGCAATTTGTGGTCCATAGGTGATTGGCTTTGGTGGTATTCCAATGCATTTTCAAATCTAATGGCTTTTCCAAATAGCCTGCAGTACTATTCTCTCTTCAGGTACTTTTCAAACCGTCCTTATGGGAAGTACTACAGTATTTCCAGAGTTGCCAATTCTCATAAATTAATTATTTTGATTTTGACCCCTGCTGCATAAAATCTTGTTGAGACAGGAAAAGCTCCAACTTTCATGTGATTTAAGGGAAGGAAGCTGTAAGGGGAGATTCTCCCATGGTGCTTTGTAGTTTAGAGAAAGGTCCGCTAAATTGCAAGCCCACCGACCACCACTGGTAGTCCCAGGTCTTCCTTTGACTGATGTTAGTAGTTCTTGTTTCCTTCACAACCCCTGTTGTGAACCAAGGCTTTATACTGCTACCTGGAGCAAATTCATTAACTCATTTCACAGGTTAACTAGGAGCTTGCAACCAAGGTGACTTCAGGCAGAGCTGGGAATGGACTCCTGACCTCTAATAAACAGAGTTAGGTCTCACCTATTTCAGAAGCAACATAAATTGGGTTCTTCTGCAGTTCATGCTAACGCAGTATGACTGTATGTTACCTTCTGATAACTAGACATC